TTTTTTTTTTTTTTTGTTTATTTTATTTTCTTGTTGTTTGTTTGTGACGAGATTCTAAAACTCGTCACAACACAAAGTCAGGCTCTGAGAAAACTTTTCAAATTACCATCCTCAGGGACCTCAAGATTGATCCCATCAAAAAATATATAAAGGATAGAGCCCTGAAATTATTTGCGAAAACTGACAGACTTACCAACACCGCGTTATCAAATCTCAGATTGGTTACAAGCTCCTCGGGGAGGTGTGCAGTTCTAAGGTCAATTATTGCTTAGTCTGATGAAGTGATAAACAATAATCCAGTCAAGGTGTAAAAAGGGGTTTTGAAAATACCTCGAGTTAAGAAAGAGTAAAAGTGCTCAAGTGCACTGGCTCAAAGAGCTTCAACATAATAATATTATTACGAATTTAATAATGGCAGCAATGGAATAATTGAGATATAATTTGATTATGTCTATAGTTGTATGGTGTTTCGGTAAACTGCTCCAAATAAAATACTAGAATTTTAATACTACTGATGAAGTAAAGTATATAGATTCTCAAGTCAAGAAGTTTCTTTCACTGTACAAAATCTTGTGATTCGGACGAACACGCATTACAGGCGATAACGTAACAATATAATAATATGTATACAATCAAACTTTCAAAACTCGAACTTCAATAACTCGAATTTCTCTATAACTCGAACCAAAAACAGTGCACCAAGGTTTTAGAGAGTAAATTACATACAATTCTGCTTCCATAACTCGAATTTCTCTATAACTCGAACAAAAATTTTGTCCGTTCCGATACGAATGCGGGAAAGTGCATTCTATAAGTCAAATTTTTTTAAGTATGTTTTAAGTATGAATCTGTTTTGGTGTTAGAGAAAGTCTTTTTTTCCAAACTAAGTTTTTAATTTTTTCTTTCTTATGTTGCTTCTTTGTGCAAATGCCAGTCGATGGCAGTGATTTAAAGTAAATAAAATAACTTCCAATGCTCCTCTTAACGATTATATTGACGATTATATATAATTTCTACATCAAGCTTTCCTACAGATTATGTTATTGAGCATTATAGCCCTAAATTAGTAAATAAAATAACTTCCAATGCTCCTCTTAACGATTATATTAACGATTATACATAATTTGTACATCAAGCATTCCTACAGATAATATTATTGAGCATTATAACCCTGAATTAGTGGATTGGATTCTAAGCGCAACGGAAACTGGGGATACGGTGGAGTAAATTGTTCATTAGTCTTCTAAGAATGAAGTAGAAGACTCATTTGAAATTCTGATTTTTTATTTACAAACGAATGATACCCTAACTGATGATCACTAAGGCTTGAAATAAATTAGAATCTTTTTTTACTGAAAATAAAAAAAAGAAATTCAAATTCCAAACCCTAATTTTTGAATGTTTCACTTCACTACGAGTATAACATTTGTGCTCCATTTCATTTCAAATAAATGAATATCTTAAAATGTAATTCTAGTTTCTTTTAAAAATAAAAAAAAATAAAATAATTCTCTTACTAGAAGTCTCCATTAGTCGAACCTTTTCCTTGCAAAATGGCAAAACTATCAAATTAAGAGCATTATGATCCCGTATATGATTTCAGTAGTAGTAGTACGTAATACTGTTTTTATCAGATTTTCGACATGGTGAAATAGGCTTTTAATATGTGAAAGCTACCTAAAGTGCCTTTAGGTATTTCACATATTTTTTGGATCTACTCGAAAGTAAGAACCAGAATTCGAAAAGTTATCCAAAGAGTAATTCATATGGTTTTATCGCCATTTTTACGGACATTCGAGATTGTGTGGTACCGTAGCAAAAGAGTACTTCTTTCTATAAGCCAAATTCAGAATATAGTAGTATCAAAACGCTATACCAAATGAGCTATCTTATTTTCCACACAATTTTTAGATCTGCTAATAGGTAGTAGTTAGAATACAGTATGTAGAAAATCGATCTGTTTTATTCATGTCACGACATTCTGTATTGTATTTTGTATTGTGTTTTGTAAATGAAAAATATAGAATACAGTAGTATTAGAACATTGACCTAATGTGTAGTTTGTACAATTTTAATACTTCGAATATTCTATTGGCAGTATTCTATTCTATAGGCAATGCACAATATTGCCTTGGTGGACGAGCACCACCTTTTCACATTTGGGATCGTTTCCTTGGAATTATTTTCATAAAACACGTTATCTTTTGCATAAAAGATTTCGCTTTACTATTGTCTTCAACTGATTTCATAGACTTTATTAAGGTTTCTTGCAGTAAATGCAGGACTTGATCGCCCACAGCATTCAGCTTTATGAGCGCTTGTTTAAACTCAAGCTTGAACTTAATAAACTTTTCACAGAATGTTTTGAATTCAACAAATAGTAGATTTTTGCCTGAATATAGCTATATATAAATATATATACTACTTTATATAAACATTATTTACTGCATTTACTATTTGCTATGTATCGCAAATATGAAATATAGAACGTAGAATAAAACATAGATAAGCATATATTGTTTTCATAATGTTTTCAAACACTCTGGAGTTCCTCATCTGAATATTGAATCTATTTCATTTTGATTATATTACTTTCACCAGCTTAATATAAATTCCATGAAATGAATTTTCAATAATTCTTTATTTTTGGCACTACTGATAACATATTTACCTAAACTTTATGATGTCAGCATTAAATAATTAAAGATGTTAGTACTTAATGCAAGCACAAGCAATCAGAAACCATTTAAGACCTTTCAATAATCAACATTACCAATTTTATATTAAAATTTTGAACACATTATTTGAGATCATATTATCATATATTATAAATAATTTTATATTAAATGCTATATTGAATAATATTATGTAAAAAGTAGAAACCTAGCACTGTTTTATGACAACACTTAAAATGCAGCTTTTATTTAATATTTGTATGTGCAGTAAGGGCCATCATATGACGAGTGGTCACCGCAATTTTACGCTCTTTTTAGTCATGACCAAAAGATGTGTTATACAATCATATCATATCACAATTGTCAATTGACGAGACACACAAAGTCTCATAATCGTGACGTATGAAAACACAATCAACATAACAATAATCTCTGACACTTATTGTATGAAAAAAACATTTAATAAACATCGCCAAATGCAATATACAGTATATATACTACAAATCACTCAGATAGCACTGAACTCATTGGATCAGCTATAAATATCTTATTACGAGGGCGGTTTGATAAGTCAATGACTTTTTTAATAAAACAAATTTTTTTCTCAAAATACGCGTTTGTGTCGGTAATGATTTCTTCATTCGACACAATTCTCTTACCGCCCAGCCATTTCTTTAGGTTTGGAAACAGAAAATAGTCGCAGGGGGCTACATCTCGAGAATATGCTGGATGGGGTAGCAGTTCGTATCCCAATTCGTGGATTTTGTCCACGATTACTTAATCAGCACACGAAATCTACTTTTTTCCATTTTCGTAAAAATACACGAGGTTGTCTACTTTCAACGGCTATCAAACACCAACTGTACGACGTAAATTAGAAAGTTGCCCACGGGTAAATTACAGCTGACGGCAGCACTTGCATTTGGAGTAACTGCGCGGGAAATTCAAAAACTCACTGACTTATCAAACCGCCCTCGTATTATAAAGAAAAATAACATGTGACGGGTTACATTTATACATTATGACGTCACTGTAGTGCCAGTATGATAATGTTATTTCTACATTTATGACGTGTAATTACGATATATATTAATTTTTCCACATTACTGTGATTAACTATTTACCATTTATAAATATATTTATATAAATACTGAACATAAACGCACTGTGAAGAATTCGTGCACACATTATAATTTTGTATGAAACAATAATACACAATATATTAAATTATGGTTTTATTTTTATACTAAATACTAGTTGCTAAAAGTATAATTCTAGCACTGTGTTGCTTTCTAACAGCACTTAAAACGAAGAGTTTATGTGACGTTTTGCTAGAGATTTGTATTTTTAAATTTTTTTTTTTAAGAAAAAACTAGTTAATAACTTTCGTAAGTAGCTAGTATCTCATTTAACTTGCATTGTTATTATTTCATATTTTAACTTTATTTTTCTTAAGGAAACATATTCTTTTCGAAACAAATCTGAAAGTATTTTAAAGGAAGCGAGATTACGTATTCTCATGTGTAAAAAGTTTCTCTAAACTCTGTTCGTTCCCTTAAGACTTTTTGTATTTGGAAGCAAACAAAAGCGCATCAAGTAAAACTTTATGAAATACTCAAAGAAAAAAGAAATTTAAATATTTTACCTTAAACTTTTAAGTATCTCGTTTAATTTTGTCAATTTGAAATATTTTCTATTTAGCAAGAAATTCTTTGACAATTTTTTTGGTTTAATTTATTTACACCTTTTTTGTATTTGCAAATAAATTTAGATTTCTAATTTATAACACTCTTCACACATTAAATTTGGCAAGGGTATATTAAATCTTACGAGACGTTCGCAATGCAGTGGATCCTAGAGACTGACGAAAACTTTGGCTGTAAATCGGTATCTATATTAAGGTATCTGCATACAGTTGTTAAAGCCCATGAAGACAATGTAACATAATGACTTTTTAAATAGTTCGATTAGAAGACATGAACTCAGATAATTATACACATATCGCAATGGATCATATAAAACTGATTTATTTTTTAATTTTCTACTGATATTTACCTATAGATGGATGCATATTCAATTTTTGTACTTGTGATGTAGTAATAAAAAGTCTAGAAAAGTGAAGTGATTCTCAAAGACAATTAATTCATAATAATAATTTCATTTCAAAAAAAAAGCGACAAATGTATCTTAAATAACTTCAGAAGTAACTTTTTTAGGTTGAACATTATTATCTCAAACAAATACTGGTTATACAATCTCATAAAAATGCTATAAACAGAAATGGAAAAGACATCTTCAGACTGATGACAGTATTTACTGAATGCTCACCTATCAGAGAAAAGGTGTCCAAAATAAGAATCTCTCACAATATTTTACTATCACAGCTATAACCAGACAGAGGAAAGAAAAAATAATTCCCATTTTCTCTATACATTCCGAAAACAACTGCACTAAGCAAGCCTCTCTTCAATAAATTCGGGAGTCTAACAAAAGTCAACATCTACGAACTTCCTTATTTAATGGGAAGTTATTTAATAATAGCTAAATATATAGCTATTTAGCTACTTAACCAACTTTGATGAATACTTTAAGATCTAATATACTTATGCATGATATTGCAGCATAAGTCACAGAATCTAACCATCTCTCTAATCATCTCTTCAAACAAAATTATAAAAAGTATTTTTGATATCTTTCCAGATACTGTTGGGTCCTATAAAAAGACAAGTAATAACTATTTTAATCATCCCGGTTTAATGGGTAGAACTTTACATCTTCTGTCGATTTACTCAGCTTAAAAACACTGCTTCTTTGTGCTACTAACCACTGAGGTGAAACAAAGTCTGAAATGATGATGATATTGTTAACGATTGAAAGGAATTTAATCGCTTCGTTTGGTAATTCTTTTAAAATCTTCAACGCTATCTAATCATATCCTGGAGATTTAATGTTTTTTTAGTATTTTTAGGATTGATACATTTGTAGTTTCAAATGGGTGAGTGTAAAGTTTAGCTCCACCGAAACCGGTTCTAAGCCCGGTAGAAAAAGGCGGAGGGAACAGGATTAGCTAGACTGAATGGCTTTTGAACAACCTAGTGTCTGAGAAATGTTGGTGAGAATAAGAACTCTTTAAGAACTTAGTAAGAAAGTTGCTCACCATAGTCTTTGAGCCTATCACTCATTGACTAATCTCTAGACATATTCGAAACAATCAAAATCATGAATAGAGGAGGAATCAAATCATAGCGGAAGATCTCTCTTCGTGGGAATCGATCTACAACTAATCCCCCCATCATGGCAGCAGGTGCTTTGCATATGGGGGCGCCAAATTCACGTTCGAGTATCCAAATGTCTTAAACCGCAAGGTCCTACGTTTCACTAAGAAAGAACGACAACAAAAACTAAGTAAGAGTGTAAAGTCATTATTCAGTACAACAGTTTTCACTTCATAGTATGTTAGTTTGCAATGGAGAAATTCAATAAAATAATGTGATGTAAGAAACAAAAAAAAAATTGTGGGAATATTTCAACACTCTTAGTAAAAATGTATGA